TACATCTTGATTGCATGTTTGATCAATTTCAGATTGAAGAAGTTGGTAGAATTCTTCTATTTCATCCTCATTGGCTATAGTGGTTGGTGTGTAAATTTGAATAATAGTGGTATTAACTGGTGTTCCCTTTAGGCGCATGGATATTATCCTATCACAGACAGCGTTGTACCTCATGACTGATCTGGATATGTTCTTTTTGATGATGAATGCGACACCATTCCTCTTCAATTTGTCATTCCCGGCATAGTAAACCATGTGGTTGTCAGATCCTGTATTCTCTGTCTTGCTTGCTAACAGACAGAGCAGTCCTTATTGGCATTTTTTGCCTCAGAGGGTTCAAGGGGGATGCGTATAGATTCAGTACATCTTTGCATTGATGCAGCACCCCCATGACACTCATTTCCTGAACCAAACTGGTCACCTCAGGGAGTGTACCAACATGTCCACTGCATCATTCAGTAATTTGCTCAGAGAATCCTTCAATACTGCAAGGCAAGTCTTGAATTTTTTCTTCAGTTCCCTCAGCTTGACAAATGCTAAGCATTTGATTTTCTAACCCCAGGTCTTTAAACATTCCATTATAATATTTGACTTTGTCTTCTCGAGCTGACCTTTGAAGTTTTCTGCTTAGCTTTTGTACCTCCTCACTTCTTCCATTTGCTCTAGCATCTCTACACTGAAGAGCAAGTTTCAGAGTCTCTTCCAACATCCATTTTGGGTTTTTCCTTCTTCCTTGTCTTCTTAATGACCTTTTGATTTTTTTCTTGTAAGATGTTCTTCATGTCATCCCACAACTCTTCTGGTCTTCCGTCTTTAGTGTCTAATGTGTGAAATCTGTTCTTCACATGATGTCTAAATTTAGGTCATATTTGGCTCTTGTGGAGTTATTTTCATTTTCTTCGGCTTCTGTTTGAATTTGCATATAAGCAATTGATGGTCTGTTCCACAGACTGCCCCTGGCCTTGTTTTAGCTAATGATATGGAGCTTTTACACCATCTCTTTCCACAGATGTAGTCAATTTAATTGTCATTAACAAATATTCTAAATGCCCAGATGACATCCCATTATCTTTATGAAACCTTCCATGACTACTTCAGCTTCCATTTCTCCCTCATTCTTCTAAAGTTCTCTACTACTTTTATCTATGCCCCATGGTTAGGCAGTACCCTATACCTAAACCATATATATAGTCCTAAGCCTAACCACCGCAAGGTAGGTGGTTCAAACTTCCTAGCTGCTCCTCGGAGACCATATACAGGGTCACTATGAGTCAGATCTGACTTGACGGCACTTGCCAACAACAAACCTAAGTAAGAGTCCTGGTATGGTACTGTAGTAAAAGCACTGGACTGCTAACCACAAAGTTGGTGGTTCAAACCCTCAGAAATGCTACACAGTGTCAAATTGACTTGATGGCATTTAACAACAACAAACCTAAATAATTTTAACCTAAAAATGCTTAACTATTGTGCCACTTGGGCTCCTTTTCATTAATGGTTGTTATTTGAACCCAACAGTATCAGATGGAGAAAAGACTGAAGCTATCAAGGGTTTCATTTTACTTGTGCCCATAATCAATGTCCATGGAAGCAGCAGTCAAGACATCAAGTGACATATTACATTGGAAAAATCTACTGCAACTGATTTCTGTAAGGTGTTAAGAAGCAAAGAAGTCACTTTGAGGAATAAGGTGCCTCTGACCCATGCTGTGATCTGTCCCCTTATATGCATGCAAAAGTTGGAAAATAAATAAGGGAACCCAAAGAACAATTGATGCATTTGAATTGTGTTGGCAAAGAATATTGACTGACAGAAGAATGCACAAATCTGTCTTGGAAGAAGTACAACCAGAATGTTCCTTAGAAGTAAGAATGGCAAGACTTTGTCTCACACATTTCTGACATTTTACCAATAAGGACCAGTTCCTGGAGAAGGACATCATAGTAGGTAAAGTCAAGTGGGTAGAGGGATGGCTAGTGAAAAATAGGAAGACCCTTCATGAGGTCGATTGATACACAATGGATTCAACAGTGGGCCTGAACATCACAGTTGTGAAGATGGTACAAACATTTCTTTCTGTTGTACACAGGATCGCTTTACCTTAAAACTTAATTGATAGCACCAAACAACATACAAAAATATAAGGAGCCATAGTATAGTGCTACAACAGTTAAGTGCTTGGCTAGACCAAATGTTGGTGGTTCGAACCTACTAAGCAGCTCCATTAAGAAAGACTTGGTGATCTGATTTCATAAAGATCACAGCCTAGAAAACCCTTTGAGGCAGTTCTACTCTGTCACCTGGGGTCACTGTGAATGAAAAATAAATCGACTTGATGGCACCTTTCAATGACAAGAACAATAATACCTAAATACCACGCAATACAAATGGTTAAGTGCCGAACTAATAACCAGAAGGATGGCAGTTTAAGCTCACCCCAGTGTGCCATGGAAATTAGGGTTCCAGATCAACTTCCAAAAGGTCACAGGCTGAAAAACCCTATGGATCCGTTTTACTCTGCACACATGGGGTCACTATGAGGAGAATCAATTCAACAGCAACTAACAATAATAGCTCAATATTCTAACGGTGACAGCAACGTGAAAACATTACGTAGTGTAACTTTAACCTATTTTATTTATTTATTTCAGCCAAAAAATAGCTAAGTTTATAAGGAGAACAATAACACTCGTGAGGTACACACACCTTAGAATAATCAACCATTTGAGATGAAAAGGACAGCATTTACCCAAAGAGAAAGTTCAGAAAGAGGAATGGAAACAAGATACACAGGGAGGACGTGATATTACATTGTGAGGATTACAATCAGTGAGCTGAAACGAAATGTATGTGAACTGTTGAATGGAACAATGATCTGCTCTGTAAGCCTTCACCCAATTCACACACACACACACAATATGAAAGTAAAGAAACAGAGGAATGTTGGATTTATAGAACCCATTTTATTTTTATAGGAAAAAGGTATCTTGGGAAAAAATAGTATGTCCCATACCTGTTGTGCCTTAGGCCAGCTCAACAATGAAGCCAGGCCATCTAGCTATGCTAAGGGATGCTAAATGTAGATTTAAATTAGGAAAGGTCCTCACTGGGTGAACTGGCTTCCTTCAGTGAGATGCTGTAGACTAGGAGAACAAGGAGTAAGCCTAGGTTTGAAGGGAGGAAGCATGATAGACAGGTGCAACTGACTCTAAGAAAAATTGTGCACAGTGGGAATTAAAAAAAAAAAAAAAATTGCAGATTGAAGTTTTTTAAATCTTTGCCAGCTTACCCGTTTGCAGAATATTTTATGCTAAGCTAAACTTCAACCTTTTTAGTTTCCTTGTGGGAAAAAATAACACTGGCAGCAAGGGGAGAGCTGTGGCGCTAGGCTCCTGATAATTATATCACAATTAAAATTTAAAAAAAACATTTTTGAGGAAGATTTTTTGAGAATTTTGTAATGTTAATTTCATCATGTAATCTCTGAATTTCACCAAATATTTTCTCATCTCTTTTGTGACTTAATTTATTTACCAATCCCTATTAAGGTATAAGGTATAAGAGTTCCAAACTCTGTTGGGCTTCAATTTTATTTCCATTAATAGAATTTACAAGTGAAAAAGATAAGCCAGTTGCACCAGGAGTTCAATACATCCTGGAAAGTTCTATGTTAGGACAAGTATGGGAACAGATAGCAAAAGCATATCATTACTCTCTGAAGTCAGTGATCCATAAATCTAACCAGGTCTCTCTTTTGTTTCCAGCAAAAATTTGCTCAATACCGCCTATGTATCAGGCACTATGCTAAGCATGAGAATATGATAAACCATAGCGGCAGAAATAAAACATGTAATTACAAGTACAAAGAATATTACAGAGAATGCTATGTCAGTATATAATGGTAGAGCACTGAAGAAGTACACATCAGAGAAGGTTTGCATAAGAAAATTATAATATACAAGCCGAGATCTGAGAATTATTAAGTAGGAGTTAACTGTGTATGAGAATGTGTGGGGGATAAGGAAGATAGAAAGAGCTTCCTATTGCTTTTTGGATAAAATCTAAATTCCTTATTGTTTGGTGCCATTGAGTTGGTTCTGACTCATAGTGAACCCTATGCACAACAGAATGAAACATAGTCTGCTCTTGTGCCAGCCACACAATTATTGTTTGAGGCTACTGTTACTGTCACTGTATCCATTCATCTCGTCGAGGTTCTCCCTCTGTTTTGCTGACCCTCCACATTACTGAGCATAATGACCTTCTCCAGGGACTGATCCTTCCTGACAACATGTCTCAAGTATGAGAGATGAAGTCTAGCCCTCCTCACTGTTGCAGTATCAGACAGGTAAATGATACTTCTTCCGAACTCAGACATTTCTGGCATGTGCATAGATCATTTCTGTATGTTCACCAGAAACTAGACTGCGTTTACGTTGTCCCCTTTAATCAGGGCCCATACAGTTTATAGGGTTGAGAGACGAGTGCTAGTGACCAGACTCAGTCAGGGACTGTCTCCTGTACCTGATGGGGGCTCACACTGAAACTCAATGCCATAAGCAAACCCACAACTGGGAACTGTTTGACCATATATTCAGAGAAAAGATAAGTCGTGAGGACATAGAGCTTGGCTGTTGTTGCTGTAAAGTGCTGTCAAGTCGGTTTTGACTCATAGTGACCCTGCATAGGGTTTACAAGGAGCAGCTGGTGAGTTTGAACCACTGGCCTTGTGGTTCAAACTAACTTTGTGGTCCAGTGCTTATCCTACAGTGCAATACCATAGCCTGGCTATGCCTCAGTAATGGTGGTCTGTCATTTATATAGACAGGGATTTGCAAGGTGTAGACATGTACTTGTTGGTTGTATGTTTGGGTATGCACCTCATACAAATTCTGCCTGAAAAATGAGAAGAGGGTCAATAGTGCTAGTTAACATCCCTTGAATACATCTTGGCAAGATAGCAGGGAGAAATCATAAAAACGGGGATGAATAATCAGCACGTAGATAATTAGGAATTATTCTGTAGTAATGAAGCCCTGATGTGGCTTTATAGGGTCAGCGCTGGACTGTGAACCACCAAGTTGGCAGTTCAAACCCATCCATCAGCTGCTCCTCGGAAACCCTTTACAGGGTCGCTATGAGTCGGAACTGACTTGACAGCACTTAACAACAACAATGAGGTCCTGATGTGGTACCATAGGATAAACACTAAACCACGTGGTTAATTAGATCACACGGTGGCAGTTCAAACCCACCAACTGCACTTTGGACACCCTATACAGGATCACTATGAGTCAGAACTGACTTGATGGCACTTAACAACAACAACAACAATGAAGAATTAGGGAGTGTGTTGGCTCCATAGGATGAGCACTAGACTGTAAACCACAGGATCCATGGTTCAAGCCCATCAGCCACTCTGTGGGGGAAAGATGAGGCTTTCTTATCCTGCAGAGATGTAAGGTTTGGAAACCTTCTGCAGGGTCACTATGAGTAGAAATGGACTTGACAGCACTTAACAACAACAAGAAGACATAATGAGACTCTATGAAACCCCTCTCTGTCATGAACCACCTGCAATGCTTTCTTGTCCTGTGTCTCCAACTAGAACTATATTTTATGTAATTTTTCATTGTTGTTAAGTCAGTTCCAACTCATAACAACCCTGTTTAGGGTTTCCAAGGAGCTACTGATGGGGTTGAACTACCTACCTTTGTGGTTTGCAGTCCAGTGCTGATCCTACAGCGCCATACCACTATCTCTTAATCGCTATAAAATTTGGGATTGAAAGCTTGGGAACATTGGGTCCCAACAGAAGTTTAATTGGGAAGGTTGTATCTAAGCTTTCCTACCTGGAAAGGTTGCCTTGACGAACATCTTGAATGCCTGCAGTTGTGCCTGTGGCGTAGTCCTCTTGATTTTGACCAGCAGGGTATATCCACTTCCAAACTTGTTCTTGAGATACTGTGGACTGCCTAGGCACTTGAACGTTCCACTTACCATAATGGCCAGTTTTGTACACAAGACCTCACATTCTTCCATACTAGGAAAATAAGGAACAAGAGAGATGGAGCACTGGAGAGGCCAGTCATGGCGAAGTGATAGCTGAGACAGACACTCAGAGTTGGCCAAGACCAGATAGGACTGTTATTTAGGACCCACATACAGTCTGAGGGACAGAGATATGTTCTTTTAATCAAAATAAAAACAGACAGCAAGTGTCACATGCCTAAATCTGCAATAAGAGTTAGCCCAATCTCTTTCTACATCCCCATTTTCGAACAGAGTATTCTAGATATCTTCTATAAGGACCCTAGAGTATTTCTTCTGGCAGGAACTATAGATTGTACTTCCTCCAGGGAGGTTAATAGGCCCTGGCAAAGTTATTACTGACCTATGTTCTTAGCCTTAACTAAATCCTCCCCACCCCTTAATCAAGATATAAGCCATACCTATGAGAGATTATGACAGTGGCCTTGCCGGACTCACGGATCTGTGAGACCGTGTTCCAGAGGAGGCGTCGGGCCACAGGATCCATGCTGGAGGATGGCTTATCCAGGAAGATGACATCAGGTCTTCCCAGGAGAGCAATACCTGTGCTTAGCTTACGCTTGGTGCCACTACTACATGGGGAAG